ATGCTCGTAGGAGCTGGCACTTCAAAGGCAGGGAATTGAAGTTAGGGATAAGCCTCCGCTTATATGAGAATTAATGTTCAGTTGCGAATATGGAGCGCTGCTTGGGTGAGCAACTTGTGCACCGAAACCTGTTGCAGAAAACTGGCTCGAAAGGGTATACCAGCAGCCTTATACCTAAACCCAAAGAATTAATAAAGTGATGACACGGTAGACGTGCTGCGCGCTTCCTTGTCCCCAAATCCTACAGCAGTAGCGGCGCCACAAATCTGTGCCGCCCGACGACCAGCTGGTGCGAAAAGGTTCGCAGCCCTTTCAGCATTGACTTCGGGACCACCTTCATTAGCTGGGGCCAGCCAAACGTGTGCATAAGCTTGAGCTTGAAAGTCAAGCCAAAGCTCCAACCATTGCCATGTGATGCTGGAGTCTGCATCTGCTAGGTCCCAGTTTAGGTTACGGAACCGCCGCCAATTGCCGGGCGCAACTCCTTGAAAAAACGGTTTACACGTCTGAATGCGTTCTGCTTCACAATTCCACGGGTATGTCGGGAAAAGATCCATGACACAAGCATCTGCTGTGTTCAAACGCGCAAAGTCTGACCAAGTCTCTTACGCTCAGCTTCGCGTGCACTGAGGATTGTACTGAACATGCGCTGCAAACTACATGCAAAGTCACCTCTAGGGTCGGCATGCGTTACGAACACGAGGCCGCACTGGCGTGTGCACTCTGGAATTGTTGCTTCATCAAATTAGGGTACAACTTGCGAAAACGGGCACGAAGTCTTTCCCATGCCTTACAGTGCCAAAAATATGCGTAACAGTCTCGGGTGAGGACTGACAGAAGGCGGCAAGGACTTGCTTTGCATTTATATATGGGCAAGTATACTGGTCTTTCAGGTGACTGAACTGCACCCACCACTGAGAAGCACTCTCCAGTGAGTGATCTCAAAGGCCGTGAGCACAGGTTTGAAACTCACCTTTCGTTTACCCTTGTCTGAGGTGTTGAGTGCTTTTTTCAGAATGCCGCAACAGCCTGGCGGTGGCCTCAAAGTCAAGAGAAACAGTGGTCCGCAAACCTTGCATATCCTTACCATGAAGCAAGGATTTTTCTTGTAAAACCATGTCACGAAGCGCCTGACGGATCACATGTTTCCATTGACCGTCTGGTCCCTCAAGGAGGTCCAGGCACGAACCATCTCGGCAAGTGAACTCCCAGGGATGTTGCCACTGCCAGCCCAGCTGATGGACAGCTTTCCATAGGAGTGCGACAGGGCCAGAGCCTTTGCCCTGCCTGTTCTTGACCTGCAAGCTGCCTCAAAAGGTTCTCCGAGGTCACGTCGGCGCGCGGCGAAGATCCCGCATAATCTGCAGCACAGTGCCACCTACCTATCGCGATGCAAAACGCATCCGCGATCTGCTCACGTGGACACGATCCATCTGCTGCAGAGGCCTCGTCAAAAGACGCAAAACAGATATGGTTCTTCATCATCTGTTTGATCACCTTGAAGGCCTTACAAATGGCAATGGCGGCTGACCCCAACCCGCTTTTGAGGGGAACTCCGCCCCGGGCATTTTGCCACTACCCCAGCACTTTGGCCGCATGTCCGTATTCTGCTGGTAGGTATCCACGTAACCTATTAGCGCAGTCCAAAAACTGCTGGCTGTGGAGTTGCTCTTTGAGAGGTGGAAAGTCAACCACCGCTTGGGACCTTTCCTTATCATGCGAGCTGCCGTTCCGCACGATGTTGTGACCAAGAAACGTTTTCCTTCGGCGACGCATACCTCGGCATTACTATCGCAGAAGGAGAAGCCGAACAGATGGAATTGTCCAAAAACGCCCCTAAAGAGGCCAAATGGTCTGTCAGGTGAAGGCAAGCGTCTGGATGGGGACCACGCAGGTCTGCCCCAGCATATCATAGTAGTAGTCTGTGGGAGGGTTTTCCATCATCTTCTCTAGTCCCAGTCCTTTCTTTGTTCTACGCTATGATAGTTGCGGCTGATTGACGTGTCAACCACGTCCGGGGAAGGTTCTGGCGAAGCCAGCTCGTGGCCGGACAACTCGAGTACCACCCTGGCACCGGCACCGCGCACAGCTGACACCTCGAGTAGCACGCTGGCCCCACGAAACCACATGTACCACGCTGGCCATACGAAACCACATGAAACATCTCGAGTACCACACTGGCCACGCGAAACCTCACGAAACATCTTGAGCACCACGCTGGCCACACGAAACCGCATGAAACTCAAGTACCAAGGCTGGCCACACAAAACCACACATGAAACATCTCGAGCACCACGCTGGCCACACGAAACCATATGAACATGTCGAGTACCACGCTGGCCACAGGAAACCACATGACACATCTCGTCTACCACGCTGGCCACACGAAACCACATGAAACATCCCGAGCCGGTCACACGAAACCAGATAAAACATCTCGGGTACCACACTGGCCATGCGAAACCACATAAACGTCTCCTACCATGCGCACCACACGAAACCACATGTAACATCTCGAATACCACGCTGGCCACACGAAACCACAAGAAACATTTCGAGTACCACAAAAGGCACATGGAAACATATGAAACATCTCGATTACCACGCTGGCCACACGAATCCGTTTGAACCATCTCGGTTACCACGCTGGCCACACGAAACCACATGAAACATTTCGAACGCAACCCTGGGCCCTGGCCACAGGAAACGGCATGAAACATCTCGAGTACCCGAGCGCTCCGGAACCCGCTCCGAACTTTCCGGAACCGGAATCTGCTCGCAACCCCTGCGGCTCGCGGAACCCGCTCCGGAACCCGCCCCGAAACCTGCTCCGGAACCCAGAACCCGCTCCGGAACCCGGAGCCCGCTCCGGAACCGGCTCCGGAACGCAACCCGCTCCGGAAGCTGCGGAACCCGCTCCGGAACCCGCTCCGGAACTCACTCCGGAACCCGCTCCGGAACCGCGGCTCCGGAACCCGCTGCAGAACCGGCTCCGGAACGCTCCGCAACCCGCTGCGGAACCCGCTCCGGAACTGCTCCGGAACCCGCTTCGCAACCTGCCTCCGGAACCCGCTGCGGAACCCGCTCCGGAACCCGCTCCGGAACCCGCTCCGGAACCGGCTCCGGAACCCGCTGCGGAACCCGCTCCGGAACCCGCTCCGGAACCCGCTGCGGAACCCACTCCGGAACCCGCTCCGGAACCCGCTTCGGAACCCTCCAAAACCGGCTCCGGAACCCGCTGCGGAACCCGCTCCGGAACCCGCTCAGGAACCCGCTCCAAAACCCAAGGGCTGAAGACCCCATCGCTTCGCTGTTGGGGAAAAAACGAATCTCCGACAGAACCAGCATCTCTCCGATTAAAAATCTGGGATCCTGGGATAATAAGGCTTTCAACGTTGAACTGGCAAAGGAGGGCTCAGGACTAAACTCAGACAAGCTGCACGGCATGGCTTGCTTGTGTCGAAAGCCTAAACTCAACACCCTGACAGGCTCATGTTGTCCTGATTCCCTGATTCCCACAACTGAATGCCCTACTTGAAACAAAACTTTGGACATGTCCCTCACGAACTCCATCTCCCCCGAGGCCGCGGACGTGGGGCAGTAGAAAACGACGCTGCGCAAGTGGCCGCTGCGGTAGGCTGCAAGGAGGTCCTGCTGAGCACAGATCGACTCTCGTTGCTGAAGCGTAAGATTCGACAACGCACAAGTTTGCCTGCTATAACCCCTTTCTGAGACCTTAAGGCGACTCAAAAGCCTTGCTTCCAATTCACTGATTGCTGGAATCAAGACTTGTGACTCCCGTGACTTTCGAACTCAGAGGTTTAGCCCGTTCGCATCATATTCGTAGGCTTAGGATGAGGCTTCAGGCTTCACTTTGCTTTGAAAGGCTTTCGGGCAATGTGAGCGAAGAGCACGTTCGAGCTTTACACCTTCTCAAGTCCCGTGTCGCGAGCCACGACCTGGGGACCTAACCCAAAAACCTGCCAGGACTTCGTGGTTAGGAAGGGCCGTTTTGGGCATTCATGCTCCACTGGGGTCGATGGGTTAACGCTGTGTTCTTGGGATTCACTTCATTAGTGGTTTAAGGCACGGTCTTCACAGCCTGCGGGTGTGCAATCTTTAAACCAGCAAACCATCAAGGGTTAGCGAGGAAGCCAGCCAAATGCATCAGACTTCAGACACGGAGCACTCAGGAAGTGCAAACGGAAGTGCAAACGAAAGATGCAAGGCTTGCGCAATGCAGCTTTCAATGCACCCAACACATCCCAACACCCAAGACCCCCTAAGCAACACAGATGGCACAACAATCAAGGTCCTCAACCCAAAGCCGATACCCTGAACCCTAAGCCATCCGATAACCCAACCCCATGTGCTGTTTGCAGAGCTTGTTTGCCATGTGTCGACGATCATGTAGTAAGCATGAACTTGAGTCAAACGGAATTTACGACATGCTTTTTGTTTTTCAGTGCTGCCACGTGAGAGTCCAAGTGTCGCACATCCGGCCGTGTCCGTGACTCTACGACCCGATTACATACTCAGTTGGATGATGGAAATGCAAAGCTGACAAGATAGCTCGTAAGGTGACACTGCAGCAGATACTGGCAGCAGTAGCAGCATCATGGACAGCCGCAACCACGCGAATACCAGGCTCCGATGCAAAATCGCAGACCCCAAACTCAAGGCCCTATCCCCAAACCATGCAAAGCAAATCCACCGCATATTTCAAACCAGGCCTCCGCCAAAGAGCTGCGCCGCCGTCGGCTGCGTTTCGCCAGCAGTAAATCCTGTTGAGCTCCAGTGCTTCACGTTCAGGCTCTAAGCTGGAGTTGGGCTTGCCAAACCCAAGCATCGCGGTTGAGTTTTTGGGTTTGGGATGATCTCTAGTACCCGAATGTCCTGCGAATGTACGAGACTCCACCGCTTCCAATCATTCCAAAACCGTAACTTCACGCAAAGCACAACCCGATAAATCCTAATTACTAAAATTACTAAAACGAACCACCACAAGAATGTGAACATATGAAGTTTTAAACCTTAAAGCATGTGGAAATCAGAGACCTAAGACCCTGAGGACTTGGACTCCGAAGCAGCCTGCAGCTCCCCGGCGTCCCGGAGCCCCCAACCTGCAGAGCTCAGGTCAACAAACAGAATACAGGATCGCTTGACCTGAGCGTCGACCCTGGGCTAGGATACATCTCTTCAGTGCTGAGCAACTAGCAATCATATGCAGCTACGGCTATGCACGTCCGCCAGCATCTTGTGCTGCGTGGCATAGAGACTATCCCCCCTGCAGTGTGGTCTACCAAGCCTAGAATGCAGCCCGACAACAAACAGACCGAACAACCCGGACGGCAGCGCGGACAATCGACAAGAGCCTCAGAGAAAACAGCTTGGACGAGGGTGAAGCGAAACTTGTGGAGCATTAGGGAGTGCGGCATTTTCGAGTTCCACGCCAGCCGCAACTCCTTGAAGCTTGATTATGGGAATGGCAGCCTGTGGTAGAATGCTTCATGGAATGAACGCTCCCACGAAAGTCAGTGAGCAGCCCGGGTAATTCACTCCGTCCACTTGAGGAACCGTCGCGCAAATTTTGAATGTGAGCTCAGCTACCCACCTGTGGTATCTGGTTTGAAAACTCGGCCTTGGTCTCGTACACCAAAAACACCATGGCTTTGCCCAACTCTAGAACATTCGTCAGGTAGACCGACCAAGTGTACACATGTGCAGATCCTGAAAAAGCCTCAATATCCTCAATCGGGCTTTTGGAGCGAAAAACGGATGTGAAGTTCGATTATTCGATTGGCCTGACTCTGCTTGGCCTACTGACCTGCCTTCAGCCAACTGCAGCATGCGGGCAAAAAGGGCGCAATCGCCGCAACCCGCGGAAACAGGCTGGTCCTTCCCACAGGAGCAGCCGATGCTTCGGGAGTGAATGGAGTCCTGCTTGGTTGGTGCCCATATTCGTTGATTGGATCCGAAACACTTTAACGCTCCGAGTCCTTCAATCAGAACGTATGAAGGGCCCGTTTGAAGTTTGCGTGGGGTCGCACTTTCAAGCAGGCTTGTTTGGCTGAACTCTCAGATGTTTGGCCCACAATTCTCCTGCACTCGGCCAGAGTAGACCCACTGCAGCAGAGGCAACACCACCATCAGCCTTCGCTCGAGGAGTTCGGCAGGTTGCAATCCACGCACATACTCTGTGTGCGTGTGCGTGCTGGTAGGGCTGCATGTGCGAGTGAACTCATGCCCCGCGCGCGCGCATGCGCGCAGATGCTGAGCCACCATATCATACAAAGAATCAGAGCCTTGTCCCAAAATCACTGGTATTCGCCGACATCTTTCGAACTGCCGAGGCCCAGGCTCCTCGCCAGCATAAAATGCCTCCGCTCCACTCACTTCCAGGCTCTACGCCGCAGCAGTTTAGGAGGCCTGCTTCGGACTAGGGCGGGTTTAGCAAATCGCAACCGTCTTGGCTACATCGTTTTGGCTCGTCTTCAATCATTCCTGATCATTTCGGCTCTGAATCTACTCTGTGAAGAAAGCCACGGACCCAAAATGCCCCAGAGAGCTCCGGCAAGCTATCTCAACCCGGCCAGTCCCGGAAATATTCGACTTCCATGGAGGCAAGATCTGATTCAGCCTTCGCGCCGTCTCCATGGAGCTTTGGGCACCGTGCTCGCAGCAAGCCGCCAAGCACGGGCCTTGCCAGGACGGCATCTCTGACTGAGGACTTACGGATCTACGGGGCCGCTGGAAACTTCAGGCCTTCCTTCAAACTTGCACTATCTTGCAGTTTGATCCGCGGGAGCTCGACATGATGACCCGCATGGACATATGATGGAACAACCCACAGCACGACACAGTTCTTGCGGGCTCTACCACAAAACCAAGGCTGGTGCAGGACATAGCCGTCGCTAGTGTGCAATGTGGCCATGTCGGTGTCCTCATACTGATCTGCTGCCGGGCCTCGCAGGTACATGCAACCTGGGGAAGGTTAAAGCTTCAAGACATCCCCGCACATCTCCATGAGATGGCCTTGTGGGCAGATTGCAGCCAGAGCTGTCCTGGAGTTCTGCACGCTGCAACATGGAAAGCCAGTCTGGGTCTAAGAAAAAGAGCAGCCTCAGATCGTGCGCCACCAAGATTACGTGCCGAAAGAAATGCTTGCGCTTGGAAACCTGATGGTCTCAAAAGGCCAATGTAAGCCTTTCTTCGAAACTTCCAATTGACGGTCAAGCGGCGCAAGCGCCATGGCGGCCACCGATTCTGCTGGAGCTGCGACTCTTGAGAAACGGGAGCGTGGCAATCACTATGATGGAAGTCAAACTCCTCATACAGTAACTGGCATCGCATCAGAAGGTGTCATGGTCGCAGCTCCGAGGTGTAGCTCAAAGCAAAGCTGGTACGAGCCCATGCCACGAAGATTCTAAATACGGCGCAGATCTACGCGAGATAGACTAGCATCCTGGATTCAGGGGTGAATATTCCCCAGAATGGTCGCATCTGCACTTTTTGCGCTGTCAACGTGCTGAAACGGTGTTGCAGGTGAAACCGAAAATTGCGCGCTTGTGATAAGTCCATAATTCCTCAGCCTTTGCATTCTTCTAAACCTAGGGGACTAGGAAACGCTGAAAACATCAGAGCCCTCCACAATTCAAGCCAAAAGGCAGAAAACAGCACACGGCCCACGCGAATGCTCTTAGGGTCCGATGCTCTGCAGGGCTGATGAATCTCTTTCTGGGGTTGTTCCAATGTGGTCCGGATTTACCTTGATGTGAGAAGTGCTTCTGGATTGAAAAAGCGCCTCAGCACACATGGACAAAATACTACTGGCTTACAGAGCCTATATTTTCCATTTAGGAAAAGGGGTTGGTGCTGCATGGGTTTGAGCGTTTCAGGACATTATTATAAGTCCACAGTCGGGCGTTGTGGCCGCAGCAAGTGAGCAGCAAGCAGGCGAAAATGTGTTGCGGCCATGCGCTGCCGGCATCTTCTTTTGGGAACCGCCTTCCCAAGAATCTAAACTCTATCGCGCCCTGCCATGCTTCAAAGAATGCTGAAGAAGGGCGCAGGAAGGAAGGGATCGCGACCGGCTCAGACGGACGGAGTTCCTTCGCTCGGGGGTCACCTGTGCAACAAAGCTTGGCATTGGCGTTGAGCCAGCGTCGTTATCCGAAGAGCCGGAATTGGTTTAGGGACAAGAAGACTGATTTCGGGTCTCAGGTGCGTGCTTCCTGCTGTCGCTTTGGTTCGATTCGAACCCGATGTTTTAAAGAAACTACAACCCCCGTGTAAAGGCTCGAGGCTCGAGCGCAAAACAGTGACCGGAATGCCGGCAAGGAGCCAAAGCCTGAACTCCACTTTGTGCCTCCGTAAACGGATTGCCTTTTGAAAGACTCTAACCTCTAAGTCCGAACCTTGTAATCCCATGAAAGCAGCCACAACACATATCTTAACGTTGCCCCTTAAAAATATTCGAACCCCAACGGGCACCGCAGACGAAAAGTCGGTGAGTTGAGGAGGGCATCTGCCTCGGCCAGTGGACGGGATGTACAGGTGGAAATCTTCAGGCTTCAGGTCCAAAATGAAACCAGATGTGTGGCACAAAGGCTGCGAGCCCTGCCTAGAACTGCAATTGTTGATGATAGTCTTTTCACCGTTTAGCCCAGAACAAAAGCCCGAACCCTGGGTCCTAGCCTCAATACTCCCTAGCTGCTAGCTCTTCAGCCGTAAACCGGTATGAACCGATGTTCCCCCTCTTTGTTCAATTGTATCCAGAAACGTCTTTACTTGTAGTTGAAGAAATGATGCTACTATTGGTACCGAGAAAATCCAACCGGCAGAAAGGTGGTACCATCAAGCCTGTTCCTACGACTTGACCTGAACCTTAAAGGCAACGTGGGCATAAGATTCGAAAATGTAATGCTTTATAATTCTGACTTGCTTCTACAAGGAAAAGAACAAAACAAACTTGGGTCCTTGCTGAAGCTGTGAACGGCCTTCGCTGCCTGCAGTAAACGGGCCCGACGAATCACCATAGAAATTCTGTCTTCAGCATCACTTTTCGCCAAGTGGATTCTACCGCCGAGATTTGCACGAGCAGCACTAGCTAGCAGGCATCGACAGCCCAAGCCCGAGCCCTGCAACCGCAAGGGCTAAAGACCTTGAAACTGACTCTGCGTGACTCTGTAATTCACGAAGCACCTGCTTGATCCCTGCATCCTGCAGTTTTGTTTGGAGTGTTTTGATCTGAAAGTGCATTGACATCCTTCTGCGGGCGTTCGTTATTCGATCCAAACTAGCAGGTTGGACTCTCATCACCAACCCTTCAACCTCCTGCAGACCCCAAACCCCACCTTGAATCCCCAATCACATATACATAGAACGGGAAGCGAAAGCCTTTCATCAACATTATGACCAAGTTCAGACCTTCGAGGTGACGACGAGGCTATTGCCGCGGCAGCCAGCTTGCTCTGCAGCAGGCGGGAAACGTCTCTCGGACAAGAGGTTCGGACTTAGTTTGGTGGCACTCTCGGCTTGAGGCGGCAGTGCTCCAAGAGCAGCTCTCCAGGTCCCAGCTCAACAGTACAAGGTAGCACGGCTTTGAAGCACTGTGGCTCATGATGACATGTTCCGTGAGCTTGTCCGAGCTCTCCCACCCTAAATCCGGAAAACCTGGCACCACGCCAGCACCGAAGATGTGTCCATTTCTGCAAGAAAAAAAAGCAAAGAAGCCGCCTTGGCTTGATTCAATCGCTTGAACAAGTCCTGAAGGCTGAAGGGGAGGGTTCAGGAGGACCCAGTTCCAGCGCATATGCTTCAGGGTTGAGGATGTGAGTTGCACCCCAGTGCAAAGCCTTCCCCGACCTCTTCAAAACATTTAGGGCACATGTTCCAAGGATTTCTTGTGCAACCCCATCTTCCTATTCGGAGACTCGACGACTCTATGCGCCCGCGAAAACTCCAACACTGAAAGTACTCACATCCGAGCAGCTATCTCCCCGACAGTGTTTCGAATGTGTAGGCAACAGGTCCAAAAACTTCGAAATCCCTGATCCGAAAAGATAAGCCGTGCGCCCCTGAGCTCCTGCATTTCTGGCTCTGTGTTTACCTGACCCGGGCTGATGCCACAGTCGATCAGTTCCTGAGACGTTGTTGCTTCAGCTCGCAGATTCTTGAACAGGTTTAGAGCTAAAGATCCAGTCGGTGTATATTTTGCGAAAATAGGGAAAACATGATCGTCAGGTTTGTGTTCTGTTTTGGACGTCATCGCACAACCCGAAATCAGAAGCAGAATCAACAACAAAAAGGCCAGCCGTGAGCTCTGACCCCTACATTCTGAGTGTGGTCACAGCGGCCTCTCGCATGTCCTTGATCTCAGCCTCAATAGCCTTGATCTCATCGCTAGTCTCCTGGAGACGGAAATTGACTTTGGGTATCTTACAAGCTTCGGGACCTCTGTACTTTTTCATGTTTCTGGGCCTTGGAGGGTGGGCGGAATTTGCTAGAGTCCGATGCAATAGATGGAGGCTCGAAGCGTTCAGGATCTCGATTGTGACGGGGGGTGGGTGCACTTGGGCGAGGGAAGACTCGGGGCAAACGCTGTCGAGCGGACTATTCTGGCTGCTTTTGAAACCCACACGCTTGTTGAGGGTCTTTTGCCCTCAACTGCCGGGATGATGAAAGCCCTGCCTCTTCTTCTTCCTCTTCTTCCCCCTCGGCGGATGCGAAGGCAGAAGTGTCAAGCTTGTGATAGATGGTGTCGCGTCGCGTGTCGGCACACCCACCCACCCCCCAAGGTATCCCCCCATCGTATACACCCGAAATCCTCGTGAGTGTCGTCACTTTTGTCTCAGAAGTGCCAACAGTCACAGGGATGGGCCCCCCGAACCGGGATCCTCGTGAGTGCTGTGACGTTTGAAGAAATGCAACTTCGCTGCATGTCCAACGTGGCGACACTCACCTGGATGGGCCATGGTTTCGGTCTGTGCCGCGCCCAGCTGCTGACCCTCAACCCTAAACCCTCTCATATCTGTACACCTAAACCCTAAACTACCCCACCACACACACCACAGGGGCGGTGCGAGTGCAAACCCTAAACCCTAAACCCAACACCCACCACCATGCCACAGGGAGAGGAGAACGGGGTTAAACACTAAACCTGACCCACCACCACACCACAACACCACACTACAGGGGGGTAGAGGGCGGGGTTTAATACCCAAAACCCACCACCACACCACAGGGGGACGAGGACGGATAAATGAAACCCACAAGCCACCACCACACCACGGTGGGGAAGGAGGGGATACCATGGGGTGGGGAGGGGAGTCGGGCGATGCTGCACCATATACATATGTACATATATGAAAAAAAGGAGCGAATGTGTATGTATGTAAATATACATATATATATATATATATGTATGTGTAGACATCTATACATCCATATATACTTGTATGTGGAGACATCTATTGCTATATATATATATATATATATGTATATATACATACATATGATGCAGCAGTGAGATTGTTGCGATCATCACTGAGATGTTTAATGCTGCTTACTATATCAGCAGTGTTGTCACTACGTTGTCGACTCGTAAAGACCGCATCACATTGATGATGGTGAACACGAGTGTGAGTAGGAGCGGAAGTAGGAGCAGTACTAGTGGTGATGATGGTGGTGGCGGTGGTAGTAGTAGCAGTAGCAGCAGCATCAGAAACAGCAGGAATGGTGGTGGTGGTGGTGGTGGTGGTGGTGGTGGTGGCGGTGGTGGTGGTGGTAGTAGTAGTAGTAGTAGAAGTAGTAGTAGTTGTTGTTGTTGCTGTTGTTGTATAGTGGCCCTAGTAGGGGTGGTAGT